TAGGCTTCTTGCATTTGTGTATAGGCACTTAAGATAACTCATCTATCGTCCCTCTTTCTCAGCATGAGACAGGAGTCCTCCCCTCTTGCACTCTCCTGCTCGTGCTTCCTCCCAGGATCCCATTTCCCCACTTACCTCAGGGCTTTGGTCTCCTTCCCCCGGTGAACCTAGTTTAAAGCCCTCCTCACTAGGTTAGCCAGCCTGCTGGCGAAGATGCTCTTCCCTCTCTTCGTTAGGTGGAGCCCGTCTCTGCCTAGCACTCCTCCTCCTCCCGGGGTTCTGACTGTCTCCCCCCCAGTGGTCAGTGGAGGTGGGGATGCGGGTACCAGGGGTTTGACTGTGTCTCTTCCCCCAGTGGCCGGTGGAGGTGTACCAGGGGTCTGACTGTGTCTCCCCCCAGCGGTCAGTGGAGGTGGGGTGCGAGTGTCAGGGGTACCGGGGGTCTGACTGTGTCTCCCCCCAGCGGGCGGTGGAGGCGGGAGCGTGGGTGTACCAGGGGTCTGACTGTCTTCCCCCCCCAGTGGTTAGTGGAGGTGGGGGTGCGGGTGTACCGGGGGTCTGACTGTGTCTCCCCCCAGCGGGCGGTGGAGGCGGGGGTGCGGGTGCTGGTGGACGCCGAGTACACCTACGTGAACCCCGCGCTGACGCTTGTCACCCTGGCGCTGATGGGGCGTTGGAATCGCGCCCAGCCTTGGGTGTGGAACACCTACCAGTGCTACCTGCAGGTACCCCAACCCCACCCCGGCCCACACTCCCTGGGCCAGCCTCCCACAGCCTGCACCCCCTGGCCAGAGTGCCCCCAAAGCCCCCGCCACAACCCCTGGGCCGACCTGCATGCCCTAGGCTGGCCTCCCCCGTGCCCCCACCTACACCCCCTTGGCCAGCCTCCTCCAGCCCCTCCTCCCCCAGCCTGCACCCCCTGGCCTGCGCCCCCGCTCCTGCCCCCACCTGCACCCCCTTGACCAGCCTCCTCCTGCCCCTCCCCTGCACCACTTGTCCAGTCTCCCCCCAAGGCCCGTCCCCTGAGCCTGGTGCTGCTCTCGCAGGACTGCCTGGTGCGGCTTGGCGCGGACGCGGCGCTGGCCGAGCGCCGGGGCTTCTGTTTCGGGGTGAAGCTGGTGCGTGGGGCCTACTTGGAGCAGGAGCGGCGGCTGGCGCGGGAGAGGGGATACCCTGACCCCCTGCACCCCACCTGGGAGGCCACCAACCACAGGTGAGTGGGGTAGGGGCTTGGATATCTGGCTCCCCCGCAGCCCCTGGTGCCTTGACTCCAACAGGCAGCTGGGGGGCC